ATTCATGAAAAGCACCTTTTTTAAGTGTTGGGGGACGGGTATTTACCTTACAGGCCTCTGCTCCCTCCCCACAATCCCTGGGAGTACCTGCTCCTTTCTTTCCTGAGGCCCAGGTAGGGAAGGGAGGAAAGGAGGAGTACAGAGAAGCTGCTCCTTGGCAGTGCTGATTCCAGAACCCTGAGGGCTAATCTCCTCCTGGAAAAGGCTTGTGCAAATAGCAAGAACTGTTCCTGAGGGCTGTGTAATGATCTGCCCGAGATGACCTTCCAACTGAGAAGGGAGCATCACCCTCTGCCTTCACATACCTCCCACTCAAATGTGCGTGCACTCACACACACACACACACACACACACACACACATGCACACACACACACACGGGTGCTCCCCATACTCAAGCCTCCCCATCTCTGGACCTATCACTCACTTGGTTTCAGATCTTCAGGAATGGAGCACGTCCTCTCCCTCACTCTCCTGACCATAATACCCCTCAGTGCTTCCTCTAACGTTTCCCCTCTTCTCAACATCCCTGAACTGCTTCAGACCTTCATTTTTCCCTTCTAGGTACTCCTTTATGGGTCACATTAATATCGAATTATTTAGCCTATCTTTATTACCAAGCCTAGACTATGAGCTCCATGAGCATGGATACCAACTCATACTTATCCCTCGGATGCCAGTACCCAGCACCTGCAAAAGGAATGAAGGCCCTGCTTACCTTTCTCTGAATTCTCCTTGCCCTGCACAGGTCTCTACCACCCACCTTTGATATTAAACTTAACTCACCTCCTGACTCCCAACTCTTAACCACATTATTCCCACACTGGACTTCTGAACCTACCTGACCTTTTCTTCTGAGGAATCAGCTGGAAGTCATTGGTTAAACAGAAGCTGATTCTGTCCAAAGTCAAGTATTCCCCATATCTTAACCTGTCTTCTGGACCCTTCCTAGGGAATCACACCATGAACTGCATGAAAATTGAGGGCCCAGTGCTGACCCTTTTTACCACAGAACACCAAAGAGACTCTCCACACCTTTGAAAACATGCAAGCTCTTTCCTGACCCAAGGATGCTTCTATGGCCTGAATTGTCAGGTTTCTACAGGCATAAGCCCACATTACAAGACAGAGAAAGAAGGTTATCAAGTTGGGGTTGAATAAACCCCACAGATATTCCAGCAATGAGTGCATTACATTGAGAGGCTGAAGTGAGAGGATCGCTTGAGCCCAGAAGTTTGAGGGTGCAGTGAGCTATGATGGCATCTCTACACTCCAACCTGGGTCACAAAGCAAGATCCTGTCTCTTAAAAAAAAAAAAAAAAAAAAAGACTGTATTTAAAAAGTAGTTCAGCTTGCCTCTGGGAGTTGGGGCAGGTATCACCTGGGAAAAACTAGGAGGAAATTTTCTGGGTTACTGGTAATGCTTCATATCTTGATTGGAGTCTGGGTTACATCAGTAGATGCATTTGTCAAGACCAAAAAATACAGTTAATATGTATGTTTCATTGTATATAAGTTGTACCTCAAAGAAAAAAACTATAAACAAATAATAGTTTCTTAAAAAGCAGCTTAGTATATCTGTTTCCAACAGATTAATGTTATTAGTCTAATCTAAGCTTTATCCACCAGTTCACATTTCTTGCCCAAATTTTGAAGGTTTCTAGCCCCACTCACTTGTAGGTTTCTAGCTGCACTTCACCCAAAGTTACTGCATTCTAACTGTATGTCTGGCATCCTCACTGGGGCTGGGTAGCACAGACAAATTAAACATGGTCCTGCACTGCACAGCTCAAGTCTAGTGTGGAAAACCAAGCACTGAACAGACAATCCCAGTTCCGTCGAAGTGAAGCATAGATAAAGAGAAGAGCAAGGGGCTGGTGGAAGTGCCCAGAACTCTGACCTCACTTTGGTGGGGAGGCGAAGCAAGACAAGAAGAATGCCCAGAAAATCTTCCAGGGGCCAGGCTCAAGCCTGTCACCCTAGCACTTTGGGAGGCCGAGGTGGGCGGATCACGAGGTCAAGACATCGAAACCATACTAGCCAACATGGTGAAGCTCCGTCTCTACTAAAACTACAAAAATTAGCCAGGTGTGATGGCACGTGCCTGTAGTCTCAGCTACTTGAGAGGCTGAGGCAGAAGAATCGCTTGAACCCAGGAGGCAGAGGTTGCAATGAGCTGAGATTGTGCCACTGCACTCCAGCCTGGTGATAGAGTGAGACTCCATCTCAAAAAAAAAAAAAAAAGAAAAAAGAAAAAGAAAATTTTCCAGGAAGAAGGCATTTCTGATCCAAATCTTAAAGGATGAGTAAGAAAAAGCTCTGTCATCTAATCGTAGGAGGGCATTAAAGACAATACAAGGAGGAAAATACGTGAAGAGGCAGACGCAAGAAAAAATTAAATCTGTGCAAGAAGCTGAAAGAAATTTAATGTGACTGAGGCAGAGTCTTGATGAGGGAGTGAAAAGGGTTGAAACTGAAGGGACAGACAGAAGCCAGCTCATGAAAGATGGTGTGCGCTCTGCACATAGTTTGTCTACTAGAAATCACTTAGACAGCTGGGAGATAGAACTTGAGACTGTCAGAGGGAAAACCATTTGTGAAGCTGTTTCTTCAGTGGATATAAAAAATGGCAAGGATCCAGACAGAGGTTTCTGAGCCAGAGCCCTGGGATTGACGAAGAAGCAGCACTTGATAGACGCCAGTGTCCTTGTATATAGGGGGCCACGAGAAGGAAAAATGTAAAATTACTCTCAGATCTCTATTTAGATAACTGGGTGAATGTCAGTACTGTTAATCAGAATGGAAGATGGTGCAGGAGGAGGAGCAGGTGATGGTGGAGATGTGGGGAAGGTAGGTAAGGCCAGTTTCAACCCCTAGCGTTCATCAGTGTTTGGTCCATCCTGTTACCGCCCATCCATTGGTGGATATTAGTGTTCAGGAGAGGGGTCTGGGCTGGAAAGAAGATGTTGGAGTCAGAAGTGTGACTCCAAGAATGAGTCACACAGGAGAGTGTATAAGAGGAGAGAAGAAGAAGGCTAAGAATAGAACACTGGAGAATAAGGGGCAGGCAAGGTGAGTCAAAGTGGGACTGAAGGGTGGTCGAAAAAAGGAAAGAGAGAAAGAAAACCCCAGCACCTCAAAAGATGAGTGGCTCTAACAGTGTCAGAGCCCACTGAGATCAGATAAGATAAAGGCCGAAAAGTGGCGACTGTATCTGAGTACCTTGGCAAGGACGTCTCTCAGTTCCAGGGATGGTGGTGGAAACACTACAGGGTGATAAGAACATAAAGCAAAACACGGATGTTGAGGCCAAAAAAAAATGGAGTTGTTTTCAAAAGCTTGGTTGCAGAATAATTGGAAAGAAGCTAGACAGGGAGAGTATAAGAACATTTTGCTTATTTTTAAGATGTCTATATGTTGAAGGAAAAAAGCCAAGAGAGGCTCACAATAAACCACAAAACAGGAGAGATGGTGGGAGCTCAGATGGACTGAGTTCCCATGGAAGTGAGAAGGAGACATCCAGAGCACAGGGAAGAGCCCCAGAAAGTTGACCCAAAAAGTGGATCTGAGCTATTCCTGTTTGAATTTCACAAGTACCCTGGGTCACACTGTAGAGACGAGAGTCAGAGAGATTATGTGACATGCCAAAATCATTCAGCCTTTAACTGGTGGAGGACACCTTTGCTTCAATCCCATAGGCTAGGAAGAGCATGCTTTCTCTTCCAGGACAGAGTCCCCTGCTACCATCGATTGTCCCTTCATCTGTCTGAGATCCTTGCCTACTGTGTATCCCCTCAAGGCAAGACACAGTCTGCTTATCTCTATCTGTCTGGGCCCAGCACGATGTCTGGCACAGACAAAGCACCTCGGGAAACAAATCTCAGTCCATTTTCACCAAGTTCCCAGGAACAGGGCAAGGGCAGGCTCCACTCCATGGAGAAAAGACATCTCGAGGAAGTAACTGGCTTTGTCAGGAGCAGAAACTAAGTTTCCAAGTTATCCTCAGCTCCCCAGCTTGGGTCTGGAATAGATGGAGGAGGGAGTTGACCAGTTTTGGCATACGTCTTCCTCACACGAAACCTGTAGGATAAGAATGATCATTTCTCACCATCAAATGCAAAACAGCTGAAGTGGAACACGAGCGCTGGAGTCAGTAATACTGTACTGAATTTGGGATTTTTGCTGGAAGAGCAGATTTTGGGTACTCTTACCAAACACACACACACACACACACAGAGAGAGAGAGAGAGAGAGAGAGAGAAAGACACAAAAGGCTAATTATGTGAAATCATGGATGTGTTCATTTGCATGACTATAGTAACCATTTCACTAAATACGTGTATATCAAAACATCATGTTACACCTTAAATATTACCATAAAATAAAAGAAGAAAGAAAAACAATTGAAGTGGGGCAGGTAAATTGCCTCTCTGAAGGCCACACAGCTAGTAAACAACAAAATCGAGTCATAAACCCATTATCTCCAGGACTGTTTCTGCCACTTTAAAGCAAACACAAGTCGGCAGAAAGGGATTCTGAGGCACAGAGAAGCACCTTTGGATTCTCCACTTCTCTGAATTATCCACACCACTAGCCTCCCTCCCCCATCTGAAGGGCAAACTGGGAACTGACTTCATATTCTGGTTAACTTATCAGGAGAATTTTCTTGGGTAGAGGATCATTAGCTGGGAATGAAGACACCTTGGTCAGGGTCTACTGAGGTTGGAAAGCTCTGGTTACCATGTGGAGACCCCTAGAGAGGACAGCAGCCTCTCTGGATCTTAGTCAGGAGGGGTCCCCAAATACTGTGAGGGTAGCCTCCTGGGATAGGCTTAACCCACTCAAGGGAAGCCTCAGCCACCCCCACTCTCTCCTAAGGAGACTGGATCTGACATCTTGGGGCCCCCTTCTGTTTCCAGGTGGAAGGAGAGCCTTCTGAGCACAGCCCTCCTGCCAGGGCCCTCTCTAGAAACCTCTCACAGTCTCCCCCAGGACCCCAGATGCGATCAGAGATGGGAGTCCCGGGACAAGCAAGATGGGAAGGGGAGAGGCAGGCAAAGGATGCAAGTCAGGACAGTGCCAACTCCAGAGCTGCTGTCCAGGACCTACCTGCAGGGAAGGCGGGCACTAGCAAGCCCCAGCCAGCCCTTGTTGACTTAACAGGTGGCTCTGAGGTGGGAGAAGAGGAGGAGGAGAACACACCACTGGAAGACTGGCTCCCATTGGTCCCTGTCATGCTTAAAAGAGGCCCAGAGAGGCAGTCTCGACACCTTAGATCCCAAGATCTCCAAGGATTTGGTGGCATACCCGCTCTAGCACACAGAAGCATGAGGTTCATGAGTCTCCTCTTCCTGGCAGCTCTGGCAGGAGCCCTGGTCTGTGCCTGTGAGTATGGCTCTTCCCCGACACCCAACCATATAGTCCCCAGAAGACTGGGCCCTGCCTTCATTTCCCCTTCCCCTCCTCACCAGAGGCAGTTCACCCAAGTCTGCCTCCCACTGGGTTCTCCACACAGGGACCCTGTGGTCAGAGGAAGCCAGGAGCCCTGTGGCCCCAGCCTGGCTCTGCACTGCCTCTCCTCTCAGTCTGCGATTGGCCCACTCTGGCATTCTTTTTCCCATCAATGAACCAAGCCATTTCCCACTGCCAAGACTTTTGCTCATCCTCTTGTCTTTTCCCCTGCCCATTATTTCACCCACCCATGTCAACCTCACTCCTACTCAATTTCCAAGTGTCTGCCCCGCTAGCTCTCTCTGTCCATGTATTTCCTCACAGCTGCCTTGCTGAAGCCCCAGAATCATTTTGGTCCCTGTTTTTCATTTTCTTCCCTCCTATATTTTTCCTTCCTAGCACTATCACAAATGTAATTAAACAATTGCTTATGTAATTATGTTAATTCCTCCAAATCCCCCATTGAGTGTCAGCTTCCCCGAGCAAACACTGTCTTCCCCATAGCTGTATCTCCAGCCTCTAACACCATGTCTGGTGCATAATGCGTGCTTCATTCATGCTGTTGGAAGAATAAAGAAATGGAGGGAAGGTCCTTCTGAGGTCCTTCTATCAGGTGACAATCAGAACAAGTCCTGCCCTGTCACTAGGGCAGATGCTGTGATCATGCCCTCATGGTCATGCCCCTTCATAACTTGGACATCTAAGACATAGAAGAGAGTCAGAGAATGATTCCATTTCCATAAGGATGTTCTGAGTAGTCCAGGTCTGGGGAGGATAACAGAGAGAGGGATTTGGTTGAGATACCAAAAAGCATTTCTAATGGGCCCCTTGTGTAGCAGAGATTTCTCTCCTGTCTGGCCACTGCCACGCTCCTGAGATTAGAGGCCTGGGAACTCTAGGCAGCCCTGGCTGGATATAGCTCCTGCAACTGTACCCTACTTGACATGGTCACTGTTCCCTCCTTTGCAGATGACCCAGAGGCTGCCTCTGCCCCAGGATCGGGGAACCGTGAGTCCTTCCTCTTCCTCCTGCCCCAGTCCCGGGTGGGAGAGTTAATGACTGGGGATATGAGCGGAGGAAGTCAGAGAAGCAGAAGAAGGGTTCAGGGGAAGGAAAGTTGGGAGGCCGACCTTTAGGAGACATGGAAAAGGGAGACTTCCTGAGAGACTCATGCACTGGAGAAGGACAGAGCATGGGGGAAAGGGTAGCCCTCTCTGGAAGTAGAAGTGGAGTAAGAAAAATGGGAAAGAAAGGAAAACTTTTCTTGAGCAAGAGGAGGAACTTCACATTAGATGGGTTCAGAGGTTTTCATCTGCCCCACCCTCACCAACAATTTCAATTCAAAACCTTTCATGTGGTTCCCATTTCCCATCACGAAGCTTTCACCTCCTAGCCTGACATTCAGGGAATCCATGATCTAGATCCAGGGTACTTTTCAAACGTAATTTCCCTAGGCTCCACTGCTTGCATTCTCCACATCAAATGTTATACAATTGTTTCATCGGCCAACATGAGTAACTTTCTACTACCCAACGTTCCTCTTCCCAGGTGCCTTTTCAACCCCTACCTGTCCATGCTCTAACAAGCTTCAAGTCCCAGCTGCTCTCTGAAGCCCTCCCTGCCTGGTGGATGTGGTGCCTCTGTCCCAGTCTCTCCTTTCATCCCTCGCTCTTCTGGGCTTCCGGTATATAGCAGTTCTGTCTCTTTTCCTAGACTGTAAGCCCCTGAGAGAGGGATCTAATTCTCATTCATTTCTACTTCCCCAGCCATGTACACACTCTGGATAATTAATGGCAGAAAGATAAACTGTATTTCTGCACATCTTCACCGCACTGCAAGCCCCAACCACAGCACACGGCTGCCCTCCCTGCCTTCTCACATACAGCCCAGAGGGAACACCAGGCACCTTGGTCTCTTCTCAGATGCCCCTGCTGCGTTTTGCACCAGTGCGATAAGAGAAGTTTTGATTCTCCAGATAAACAAATGGATTTTTTATAGATGCAGAAGTCCCCCTCAGAGACTGCCAAATTTCTGTGCTCATCCACCAACCTGCCTAGAAGAGAGAAGCTAGTGCCCTCTGCAAAACCTCCTCACACTAGGTGGCTGGTATACGGAATGAAAACTAGGGGGAGTCTCTTTAAGGTGATCTTTCTGCCAACATGACTTTACTTTTCCCTGAACCATAACCTACTCTAGAAAAAGGCCCTGGAGGAGCAGGAAAAGTCTTGGAGGCAGCAGGAAAAAGCTTGAGGGGTGCTAAAAAACCTAACACATTATGAAAGTCAAGCTCTAGAGGAATTGGGAGAGAGGGAGCTATCCTCAAGCCAGACCTTCAGGGGGTAAAAGCACCACCTGCTCCCCCACCAGGGTGGAAAGAGTGGAGGTAGCTATTATTCCTCTCACTCCATCACCCTTGCAGCTTCCCATGAGGCATCAGCAGCTCGAAAGGAAAATGCAGGTGAAGACCCAGGGTTAGCCAGACAGGCACCAAAGCCAAGGAAGCAGAGAGCCAGCCTTCTGGGTAAGTCTCTTTGCCAATGCCTGGTATAGAATTCTGATGCATGAAACAGCAAGATATCTGGGGGCCAGTCTGCACTCACAGGCACAAGCACAGGGACACAGCTACACCCATATTCCTAGGGAGGGGTTGGGGGTGCACACCTGCTTCTACACACAGGGTTTCTGGGCCATAGGTTTTGCAGCTAATACTGGCTTACCGACCTTCCCATGACAGAGAAGTTGGTTCCCTCAGCAAAACCACTTCACCTTAGGGGTGCCCATGGTGCCTAGGAAGCGGAGGAGCTCTCCTACAAAGGAAGTAGTTTTTCTGCTTCTATGACCTCTTCTTTTCTGAATCCATCCTAGAAAAAGGCCTAGAGGGAGCAAAAAACACTCTGGGGGGACTCGGAAACCTAGGAAAAGATGCAGTTGAAGATCTAGAAAGTGTGGGTAAAGGTGAGTATGTCCCCACTCCTCCCTCAGGACCAGCCTTGGTCTCCACCCCTTGCATGAGATCTGAAACTGCCACAGCCCCGCCCCCCGTTGAAGACCCCTCACTTTGTGCTTTCAAATGTCACCAATTCCTCATCTGGACTTAAATGGCCATTCTTGTCTGATATTGACACTCCCTGGGGTCTAACTTGCTTTTTTTTTATTGCTCTTGCCCCCTGCCCCTGCCAAGGTGGGGAAGAGGGTAGGTCTTTGGGGCTCCAATGAATCTGACCTCCATCCTTCTGACTTCTGTGTAAGCCCCTCCAGGCCTCAGTGAGTTTGGAAAGCAAAAGACAGAGTTGAGGAGGAATGGAAGGGGTGGAGCTGGTGCCTGGGGCCTTGGAATCCTTATTAATATTCTCTTCCCCACCCCTTCCACTCCCCCTTCCCCTCCCTACCCCTCCCCTTCCTCTCCCTCCCCTTCCCCATTCCTCTCCTTCCACCTCCCCCTCCCGCTTTCCTCCCTCTCCCCCTCCCCTTCTCTTTCCCTCCCCCTCCCCTTCTTTCTCCCTCCCCCTCCACCTCCCTCTCCTTCCCCAATTCCCTGGCTCTCTTTCCCTTCCTTTTGTCTTCCTACCCCTTTACCCCGTGTTTTCTGTGGCTGTCCTAGGAGCCGTCCATGACGTTAAAGACGTCCTTGACTCAGTACTATAGCTGTAAGGAGAGGCTGAGAAATGATGCCCAGGAGCAGCGGGCTTTAAGTCTTCAGCCCAAAACCTAAAAAAAAAAAAAAAAAAAAAAAAAAAAAAAAAAAATTAAAAATGGCTATTAAACTGAAAGCATCTGTAATACTTGGAGTATGTGTATGTTTTCCTTAAAAAGAGATGGGGTAAGAAACGTGGCCAGGAGCCCAAGAGGTTGGAGGAGCACCCTATGAGGCTTCAGTTGGCACCCTGGCCCTTCCTCCCAAAACACAGCTTCCAGACCCAGCCTTCCCAGAAAGCATAGTTCCAGCAAGTTCTTTGATTCATGCCCAGCCCCTCACCCATATCTGCAGGGTCTAAGCCTCAAGTCGCAAACTGGTTGCTTCCTTATCCCTCACTCTGCCTGCCCAATGCCATTTTACTATGCATCAGTGTTGAGTGGGACTTTTCCCATTGCCTTGAATTTGGCTCTAGGACCCACAGCTAGAATCATAGACCCCAAATACCCCACATTCCATGGAGAACTTCTGACATCTGGAGCCTGCCCACCACCCTGGGACTTCCTTAGAGCTAGAAAAGCCAGCCCAATCCCAATCAACCACAGGACTATCATTCTCTGCCCTGTGCAAAAGGAGAAAAGTGGAATCATCAGGATCACTGGCTCTGTGAGGAATGCAGTGCTCATGGCAAAGAGATTTTTCTTGAACACCTCCATGGAAGAAGGGAGGGAGATGCTTCTTCTATCCTTCAAGTCAAGTGAAGGGCTGTGGAAATCACTCCTAGATTGAAGGTTCCAGTCCAGGAGGAGACAGGCATCTCCCCCACCAACCTCTCACCCCCAGCTGAATGCACCCTCTAGACTGACCTGAAGCTGCCCAGACTAGAGCATAGTAGGACAGCTCTTGAGAAAGCCATGTCCCCAGGTATCAAGATTATATTAATTAGGGAAGGCTAATCTACTATAAACAATAATCCAAGATATAATTGCACAAACATATACAAGTCAAGGTGGTTTGCTCCAGATTTGGGGGCAAGAAGCAATAGTCTGTCTTCTCCACAGAGTCATTTAAGGATTCCAGGATGTCAGCAACCCTGCCATCTTCAATATCTAGCTTCAAGATCATTCTGTCATCTTTATCACCATTCCAACTACAGAAAGGGGGAAGGAGCATGGAACAGATTGCTTGGAGGTTTGTATGAGCTATACTAGCAAGTAATACAAGAACCCACTCCCCATGGCCACACCTAACTGCAAGGACTGGAAATGCCTAGCAGTAAGATGATCAGAATGAATGTTTATATCTCTGTAGCAACTTCTGCCACAGGGGAAAGTGAACAAAAAGGCGGGTACCTGTTTATCATCTGACATTTCTAGAAACAAGAAGTTTTTCATGGTAGCTCATGGAAGAGATGCAAGAAGACACTCTCATCCCAGGCTCCTGAGGCCACTGAAGAGCAAAGAAGAGAACTTAGGATTCCCATTGCTCTCATGAGTACATTTAGAAGAAGGACCGAAAGCCAAGAAGCTGTACGGGGGGCTTCCAGGCTGGATGGGAGGAGGCAGCACCTGGTGAGAGGGTTGAGAGTATGGGCCACTGGCCTAAGGGAACTGTCACTCTTTGAGGGGTTCCACAGCAATGGCAGGGCTGGAGTGAAACTAACCACCATTTATCTGGTGACCGCCACACCCTGCATCAGTGGAGGCCTCCAGAGGAGCGGAAGAATGTAGACCAAGCCAGGAGATCAGGATTTCTCCCTCATTGACTGTGATCAGTGACCTTCAAAGATCTCTGTCTTTCCCGTCCCACCTCCCCTGAGATCCAGAACCAGACCCCACCCCTTTTCATGTCTCTCCAGTGAAGCATATGCTGGGGAGAGGAAAGGAAGGTAAGATTTTAAACTGGATGGATTCTCAACAACCACAAGGAACTAGAACACATGGAATCCTCTAAATCTGTCATGAATAAATGGGAAAGGGAGATTTAACAACACATGTAAGATGCCCCTCAATTTAGGATGGGGTTACAGCCTGATAAATCCATCATAAGTTGAAAATATAAGTTAAAACTACATTTAATATACCTAATCTACTGAACATCATAGCTTAGTCTTGCCTACCTTACACGAGCTCAGAACACTTACATTCACCTAAAACTGGGCAAAATCATCTAACACAAAGCCTATTTTCTAATAGTGTTGAATAGCTCATGTAATTTATTGAAAACCACAATGACAGTGAAAAACAGAATGCTTTTATGGGTACTAGAAGTATGTCTACTGAATGTGTATTGTTTTCTCACTGACGTAAAGTTAAAACGTTGTTAAGTCGGGGACCATACATATTTGGGAGCACTGTTTGAAGAAAAACAAACTCCACTAAGTCCTGCCTATTCAAGAAAATATTGTTTCTAAAAATAAACCCACAAGCATCAGGATTTGTCATCATAATGATGATCAAGGGGCCGTGCACAGTGGCTCATGCCTGTAATCCCAGCACTCTAGGAGGCCGAGGTGGGTAGATTGCCTGAGCTCAGGAGTTCGATACCAGCCTAGCCAACATGGTGAAACCCCAACTCTACTAAAAATACAAAAAGAATCAACCGGGCATGGTGGCATGTGCCTGTAATTCCAGCTACTCAGGAGGCCGAGGCAGGAGAATCACTTGAACCTGGGAGGCGGAGGTTGCAGTGAGCTGAGATCTCTCCATTGCACTCTAGCCTGGGTGACAGAGTAAGACTCCACCTCAAAAAAAAAAAAAAAGATCAAGGACAGCCATTTCTAAAGGGGTCTTCTGTTATGTATATTAAAAATTCAAATCCAGTTCTCAAAATGTTAAGGAAAAAGCAGAGACAGAAACAAAGGTAGAGCATGATAAAGCAAGCACAATTAAATGTTGACATTTGGGAGCTCAAGTCCCCAGTGGATCTAGAAAGAGGATGTGAAAATTCTTTGTACTATTTTTACAAATCCTCTGTAAGTCTGAAGTTATTTCAAAACAAAAAGTAGGTAATGCATATGTTAATTAGCTTGATTTAGCTGTTCCACAATGCACACATATTTCAAAGCATCACATTGTATGTGATAAATATACACAATTTTCATTTGTCAATTTTTAAATTAATTAATTTTAAAATACTACAAAGTAAAACTATTAAATGAAATGTTCAGAAATAATAAGAAAATCAGGAGTTTTACAAGAGAATCCAGATTTCCAATTTTCCTTGAAGAATTGAATGTCTGCAGCCATCAGCTCAAGGCAGAGGCAGCTGACAACTTTACAAAGGGCAGGCACACTCCAGTTTGCTCCAACTCAACCACTTCCTCCTGATTTCCAACACCTGAAAGGGAAGGACAATTACTATTTATCATCGCACGTATGCTGCTGTTTGCCTTGTACCTGGACTGCCTGGCTCATTAATGGTACCTGCTTGATTCTTGTAGGCATTGAAATTTGCAACCCTTAGCCCTGGCCTTTGACCCCAAGTCCTTTTCTGGACATTGCCAGATGAGGTAGCTAGACCCCATAGGAGCCATGAGAATCCTTTTTGCTTAGACCACAGGCAGGAAGAGGGCCCGCTTATTGGTCTTTGTGGACTCTTCCACAGCTTCCTAGAGCTTACCCCTTACTCCTGTGAAACTAGAGATAAAAAAAAAAAAATCCTTCCCCTTAAGATCTGGAAAAAGTTTTCCAAAGATGCACACAACATGTCTTTTTTTTTTCTCTGGGCCCAGTTGATGTGCACTAAATCTTCCAAGATCAAAATGCTGAAGGGTACTGTCCTAGTTAATTTTATATGTCAACTTTGCTGGGCCACAATGCCCAGATATGTGGTCACCAAGATCAAAATACTGAAGGGTACTGTCCTAGTTAATTTTACATGTCAACTTTGCTGGGCCACAATGCCCAGATATGTAGTCAAACATTATTCTGATGTTTTTGTGAGGGTGTTCTTGGATGAGATTAACATTTAAATTGGTAGACCTTGAGTAAGGCAGATTGCCCTTCATAATTGAAGGTGGGCCTCATCCAGTCAGTTGAGGGCTGAATAGAACAAAAGATGGACCTCCCTGAACAAGAAACACTTCTACCAGAAGGTGGCCTTCAGACTTGAACCACAACATCAGCTATTTCCTGGGTCTTCAGCCTGGCACCCTTCAGACCTGAACGACAGCTTTTGGACTTGCCAGCCTCCATAATCACATGAACCAATTTTTTAACATAAATCAACCTCTCTCTCTTTCTCTCTCTCTGTCTCTCTCTGCCTCAATCTCTCTCTATATATGTGTGTGTCTGTGTGTCTATAAATATTCACACTATATATAAATACATATATATATAATACATGCATATCCAATTAGTACTATTTCACTGGAGAAACCTAACGAATACAGGTACCAATTAGTTAAAACTAGAGAAACTTAACATTAGAGAGGCCTCATATTTACTTTAAAATGGAATTTAGTATTCCAGCAAGGAGTTGTGGTTGACAGCACAGACTCTGAAGCTAAGAAGCCCACGTTGAAATCCAGCTCTGCCACTCACTAGCTGTGCCATCATAGGCCAGCATCTTAAACTGCCTTAGACTTAGTCTGCTTATCTAGAAAGTAAGAGTATTAATAGTACTTTATCTCATTGGGTTGTTAGGAGGATTAAATGAGATTAAAATGGATAAAGCTCTGAGAATAGTGCTTGGCATGTACTACATGCTGTATGTATGTTAAAGAAACAGAATTCACATTTTTAAAAATTTCACTCTATTGCTTTGTCTTTACACCTCCCCAATGGCCATGGTGAAAGAAGATCAGAGGCATCAGAGGAGTGTGGCAGAGCTTGTGCAGGACACAGGGCTTTGCAGAGAAGACGAGCCATGTCGAGCACAGCAGCCAGGGTAGAATGACCTTTGGAGATCAACATATGCCTGTGTTCTCAATGCAGGAGCAGGTCTACCCTAAATAGTCCATGTCACTTCCTCCCTTTGGAGTCTCTGCTTCCCCACCAGCCCCCAGAAC